GGCTCTGAGCCATCAGCCCAGAGCCCGACGCGGGGCTCGAACTCACAGACTGGGAGATCGTGACCTGGCTGAAGTCGGACACTTAACCGACTGCGCCACCCAGGCGCCCCCAGAACCAACACCTTTTAGAGCACTAAAGCCAGGTTGCCCCCTTGTTACTGTCAGGTTCCAGGGAGGCTTCTTCCATCCCTTTATTGGGTTCTAGCCATGAGCCTTAGCTTTTCACTAAATTAGTATATTATCTCCCTTTTGTGTCCCAAGCTTTCTGTTTTTGTTTTGTTGTAGTCGTTGTCTTCGTCGTCGTTTAATTAATTAATTTATTTATTTTCTAGCAATCGTTACACCCAATGTGGGGCTTGAACTCACAACCTTGAGATCAAGAGTCATGCTCTTCCAGCTGAGCCAGCCAAGTGCTTGATGTCCCAAGCTTTCTGTGCAATCCTTTCTTTAGCCCCAAATATACTGAATTAAAATGTTTACAGGTCCAGAGGGTGTCAGGATGACTCAAGCTTTCTGTGCAATCCTTTATTTAGCCCTAAATATACTGAATTAAAATGTTTACAGGTCCAGGGGGGTGTCAGGATGACTCAGTCAGTTAAATGACCGTCTCTTGATTTCAACTGAGGCCATGATCTCAGGGTCCTGAGATTGAGCCCTGCCTCCGGTTCCATACTGAGATTCTCTCTCTCTCTCTCTCTCTTCCTCCCTCGCTCTCCCTCTGCCCCTCCCGTACTGGCGCACGCGCTTTCTCTCAAAAAAAAAAAAGTTATAAGTCTGTCTCCACAACCAGCCTGTAAGTTCCCTCTGGGTAGAACCTTGGCTGACACTTGATTTAGTTTATCTAGTCTCCAGGCCCAGCACATGGATGCTTGTTGGATGAATGAATTAATAAGCTTTGCACAGACCACGGCTTCCAAGAAGTAGATGGGTATGAGGAAGAGAGGGCAGACGGAAGGCAATCTTGGCATGGATTAGTCTTGAAAGAAAGTTGAATGGTGCGAGGGGACTTTGCTGTCATATTTTCCAAATGCTTATAGGTCTTTTAGAAATAATGATTATGTGCATCTTTCTGAACTTGGAAGTCATCTGTTACTCCCTTGTTTCCTTTCATGCCACATCCAAACACCAGCAGATTCTGCAGCCTCTGCTTTCACAATAACCTAACATCTTCCCACGACTCTTATTGGCACCTGTCTGGCCTGAGCTAACCATTGCCTGTCACCTGGACCATTGGTGTCACCTTTTAAATCACTTCTCTAGCTCTTATTCCCATATATTCTCAATACAGCTGTTAGAGGGACACTTTTCAAGCTTAAGTCAGATCACGTCACTGCCCAGAATCTCCAGTGTTGTCCCATGAGTTTGACCACGTCCTTCCCCCAGCCTACAAAACCTCTCCTGCTTCCATCTCTCCTCACTCTTGTGCCCCAGTATGACCTGTTTCTGGAATATGCCACACCTGCCCTGTCTCTGGGCCTTTGCTTGGCTTCCTCCTTCACTTCCTTCAGGTCCCTGATGTGTCACCTCCTCAGAGAAATCTCTCCTGACCACTTTACCTAAGGTACTGTGAGGCCCTGCATGGTTTTATACCCTCAGCACAGTCATCCCTCACATAGTATAGGTTAAAAAAATTTTTTTAAATGTTTATTCATTTTTTGAAAGCAAGAGAGACAGAACGCAAGCAAGGAAGCAGCAGAGAGGGAGGGAGACACAGAATCTGAAGCAGGCTCCAGGATCTGAGCTGTCAGCACAGAGCTCCATGCGGTGATCAAACCCACAAACTGAGAGAACGTGGCCTGAGCTGAAGTCAGTGGCTCAACCAACTGAACCACCCAGGTGCGCCAGGATAGTATATATAGACTTATTAAATTCTGACCTCCTGCCTGGGAGATCCAGTCATAAGCAGGGCCATTATTTCAGTCACCAGTTTATTTGGGGGCTATTTCCTTACATATAAATTAGGCATTTAAGAAAAGGTTTATTTATTTTTGAGAGACAGAGTGCAAGGTGGGGAGGGGCAGAGAGAGAGAGGAAGGGAATCCAAAGCAGGTTCCAGCTGTCAGCATAGAGCCTGACTTGGGGCTTGATCTGATCTTACAGTTTGTGAGATCATGGCTTGAGCCCAAATCAAGAGCCAGATGCTTGACCGACTGAGCCACCCAGGCACCCCTAAAATGGGCATTTCTGGCTTAAAGTTCCTTCTACCCAGGCTGTTCTGGGGATATGAATTTCTGCTGTCATGTGGCCTGCCTGGGTCACAAATATTCCTTTCAAGGTATGGAGCTGAAAGGCAGGAGGGCTTTGCCTGTTTCCAGGACCTCTGAGACTTTTATTCAGCACTTACTTCCCAGTGTAAGAGTCTGGATCTTTAGCACCTGAGATTAAGAAGTATCATAGTCTGGCAATATTTTTTAATCTATAGACACAGTTCAATGAAAAGCATTTGAAACAATAAACACGAGTCATACTTCTTGAACTATTGACCTTTACCAAAAACAGTACAATTAGGGGTGCCTGGCTGGCTCTGTCAGTAGAGCATGCAACTCTTGATCTCCAGGTTCTAAGTTTCAGCCCCACGCTGGGTATAGAGATTAATGTGGTTTGAAGTATTGGGTTTTGGAGCCCACAGCCAAGAAAGAATTCTTGAGATGTCTTCAGTGCAAAAAGGTGGTTTTATTAAAGCACAGGGACAGGACCTGCAGGCAGAGTTGCACTGGGATTGCGAGGAGTGACTGATTACACACTTGGGAGCTGGGGGAAGTAAAGGTGAGGGGAAGTTTTGGAAAGGATTTTCATATGCTAAGAGACTCACAGGATCCTGGAGACCTACCTATGGTCAAGCTAAGGTTGTTTGACCCTCCAGCAAAGTATTAATTGGGTTTCTGGTAGAATGTAGTACTTTGCCTGCCTCAAGTATTTGTTAATGGGCTGCAAGTTATAAGGAAATTTAATTTTATCTACATTTCCTTTTGCCTGTTTCCCACATAAGAGATTACTTAAAATCTTAAACAACAAAAAAAGTACAACTCTATGAAAACAAAGACCCAATTTAGTCTAAGGTTAAGGCCTGTTAACAGAATCCCTCAGCCAACAGCCCACTCAATCTTGGCACCACAAAGTCATTCTTGACTCGCACTACGTCCCCCCAGCCCCATCTTTCCCCATCTCTTACTCTGGGGATTCAGCTTTCCATCAGAATATGCCTTTCCAGCCAGGACCGGCTTCTCAGCCCCCAGGACCTCGCCCTTCCTGTCAGGATGGGGACCACAGGGTCATGTCCCTCACCTCCCACCCGCCAGGCCAATGTGACTGCTACACCCGAGGTTGCCTAGTCCAAATATTTTCATTGTCTTGTCTGCCTTCTGGACACACTTTAAACGTCTGTAAAGTCTCCCAATTAACAATAGAATCACTATGTACAAAGCAGAGGCGACTTCCTCCGAGCAAAGTGGTGGCGTTCAAGGCTCCTAAGATTGTAGAATTAGGATCCCCCTCCCCGCCTGCCCCCCCCCCCATTCCGTCACTTCC